ATCAAACCATTCCAATAGTGTAAAGTAGGACATTATAAACTGTCTAATCTCCAGCACAAGATTGTAATACAGAGGCTACTAGATAAAAAGAAAATATCATAACTACAGCTGTTCTGGATAATGGATTCCCTAAACACTTGAAAAAATGCAAAATAAAGTGGACAAACATCATGAATAGGCAGGAAAAATATTGCAGACACATTGTTATTTTTCTCTATGGTATAGGTATTTCTGAAAACATACAGAATATATATAAAAACTGAAAGGTAGGATATAACCTAATTAGTGAATAGTGTCTGGTACAAATTAATAACTAATTAATATTAAGACCTAGATAATCATATAGGTTACTAACCATAATAGTGATTCATATCCATTTTTCACAACCATAAGATAAGTAAATACTACAATAATGACCTTTAATGGGCTATAACAATCTTTATGGATTTGATATGTTTAAATTTTGAACAAAGTATGTTAGAATTTATGAGGATTTTTGGTGTTCTTGGTAATTTTTGGTGCAACATGAGAGGGGAAAATATACATCAAAAGAAAATTCTGAAATCTGTGTTAAAAGACAGATTTTCAGTGGTTTGTCTTTATCATATTTGTAATACAATGATAAAAATCAAGTTTTCTTTTCTGTTCAAAAGGATTAGTCAAGAAAAATTGTATTAAAATTTCATGAGACTACATTTATTATTCATTTTAATAATACCTAAATTAAACTGTGAGTCTTTAGTAGGCTGTGTATAATTTTATCTGTAACTGTACTTCATTGATAAAGTGATAATGAGCATTGAAGTTTATCTGTAGTACACACATTTTAAAAATTTTATATTATATTGTGAGGTTAATTGTAGCATTATTTAATTTAATACATATGAATTCTGTTTGCTGTCTTAAGAATGGGTATTACTTTTTAATGTTTTATATCCAGAATTTATAATATTTAAGTTCTAGACTACTGAAAGGTTCTAGAAACTTAATGCATTGTTTTCCTTTTCAGGTCTGTAGAGTGGTCACATGAATGTTATAGTGCTCCACCTACCTGCATGTCATCACCTGTATCGAGCTCAGGAAACTTTCCTGACCTTGACCGACTAAGTACATATTCCAATGTTAGTCTGTCAGTGTCGAACAAGTCATCCCCACATTTGGAAAGAAATGAATCTGATAAATTAAATGATGGTGCAGATGGACAGATGAATCTTCATGCCACTACCAATTCCCAGTCTTTAATTTCTTCCATAGGAATAACTGTCAAAAAGGGTTCTCCCTTGTCTAGTAGTGTGAATATGAGTATGACTAGCAGTGACAGTTCAGGAGATGTTTGTGATCAGCCTTCAGGTTCTGAAAATTCTTTTCCAGTTAATGAGCTTTCCATAAAGACAAAACAAGATGTTGAAGCTAATAATTCTTCAGTGATCATAAGTGATAGTGCTCCAAGTCATACCAATAGTAGGCAGAAAAATGATACCAAAAAATTTATAAAACAGAGTAATCCTTTAGAACCTAAAAGGTATAGGAATCAATTTTTGTCTGAGAAAAATAATGTCTAAGTATTAATACATGCAACATTTAGTACTATAAATTTTAGTTCACTTTTTTACAGAGAATATGCCTCTATAAGATTATCTGAATAATGAAATTTTGGGCACACTAATTATTGTCTTCACTAGGTTAAAGAAACCAAGTGCAAGTGTGTTAAGCTATAACAACATCATTTGACTCTCTGTTAAAAAGTAGATTATTAGTGAGTTGCTGCATAATAAACCATTAAAAGGACATGAAAATAGTTATAAACATAATGAACTGCTCTATACAGAAATACATTGTTAAAAATATTAGACAATTGTGTGAAGATAAATTAAAACTGTTCCTAAACTGTGAAAGTGAAATAAATTTTCTTTGTAATGTTTACAGGATTTTCTTTGTTAGTGTTTATGAATAGAACCTTTCAGCTAAAATTATCTGTTTGGTGTTTTTCATGTGTTAGAGAGGACTTCACCAATGGAAATATTTTGATGCCCATTTTGGGCTCCTCAGAATTCAGTGTCCCTTTAATCCCATTGTCTCAGGGAGATGACATTCCTTCCGGTAAGAGTTAAGTATTTATACATTGGTTAGTATCTGTTGTTTCAGTAATTTTAGTGTATGCTGAGTTTTACTTAATTACAAATGCAGATTGAAAATCTGAGGAGAGCTTTATGCAAAATTTGCTTATAGTTAAGTATTTTTTGAAATTGGAATGTAATGTGTAGTTTGTTCTACTGTATTAAAGATTCAATATTTTACTAATTAAAATAGAGACAAGAGAGTGGTTAGGATGGAAGCAACTTTAATGTACATTGAGTGTATCATTTTGGTATTCACTTAGTCCATCATCAGTGAAGTCTGAAAACAAGATGCATTAAGGTATAGTACTACAAATGAAGCAAAATCAAAATGGTATTTGTGAACAATGCTCTGGGGATTTATTACATAGACATCTGGCTTCTTCTGGCTCATTCTGAACAGGAATCGGCCAATCACACTCGCAGCTCCTTTTCGTTTTTCCCGATACCGTAGAGTTTTTACTTCCCCTGTCTTTACTATGCTCACGCATTCCTTCTAAATATGTCACCCTTCCAGGCAACCTACCCTTTTGGATTGTGGATTGGGATGTTAATATGGTCCTCCATTCCTTTACCTCCATTTGAACAACTTTCCTTATGATCCATGTTTCATCTTTCCCTTAAACATATTTCTGTCTTCTCTTAGCCTGTGGATGTTGACAGTGTAATTTGTTTGCCATTGACTTTTCATGTACCCTTTATCACCTTACCCATCTTCTCCTTTATCCAGATCGTTCCTTTCTCCCAAAGACCTCGGGATGGTGGTTCCTCCTTTTCTCTTACTTTCCTTCCTTCCATTTCCCATCTTTACCTTCAACCAGATCCGGATAGGCTTCTGTGCCTGGTCAAGGCTTTTCATTGTTATATTGCCCAGAGTGCATGATCCCAACTCTTCATCCCCTGGCAGTTCCCCTCCCTTTGTGATCTTTCACCTTCTACCCTTACCAATTACGTCCATCTTTTGGTTCAATTGGCCTATTCCTCCCTATATTCTTCCTCCCAAAATTTGTTCAAGGTGTCCTCCCATCAGACATCTCACTTTTTCCATTGCTTCTTGTCTTCATTGTCCAGTGGAGGAGATTCTGATGTCCAGCATGTGGACCACACCCACTATCTCCATAATATCGTGGTTTCCTCCTTCTCAGGGTTTTGTCTGCCACCTGTGACCATTCTTCAGACTTTGATGCAACTGTAACTAGTAAGTTTTTATTCATACTTTCTTTTCAGGGGCCTTTCTCTATTTCTTTATCCCATGGATCCTGCTCTGTGGCTATTAGTGTCTGACCAGGTATTTTTTAACTTGAAATCTGCTATGTTTAGCCATGTTGATTCATCCTTTATCTTCCATGACTTTGCCTGCTCACTTTTGAGATGAGGTGTTCTACAAGATCGCATGACCTCGTGATATTTTGTTTCATAAACATTATGCCTGTCGTAGACTGTACCACCCATGGACTGCATGGGTAAAGCAGAAGGAGATTACTGCCCATCCCCACCATACATTGAGTGAATAACTTGGTATGGTCTGCTTTTCACAATAAGATCTTGTGGTCACCCATTGCACTGTCTCCAGTGATGACATTCCTCCGGACTCTCCACTGTATTGTCACCCTCCTTTCTTCAAGTGGAGTAGGGGAATTTTTACCACTTTCCAGTTCCAAGCCGTTGGGGTGGTTGACCATGGAAGCACCCTGCCGAATGAGTTTCACACATTAACCATTCAGTTACAGAGTTGGGCAGTGGTGTTCTGCAGGTGTGGATGACTTGAGATCCTTCTATTTGTGATAACCAATACCATTGGAGTGAGACATCAGATTACATTTCACCCCTCTGATTGGGAGCCCTCATTCTACCCTCACGTGGATGTCAGTACCCTGTGGGCAGGTTTTGGATTTAGAGTGAACCAATCAACATAAGTTCTCACACAGGTTTTGGGTTATCTATCTTCTTCCCTCAGTTTCCTCCTTCTGTGTTGTGGGTCACAGTGGTGGTGCATGGGATTGTTCCGGTTCTGCCTTCATTCTCGTCCTCTCTTCTTATGGCAATGTTATTGCCATTTGGATGGTTCTGGCCTGTTTCACGGTTGGGAGAGTTGATTACATGTGATAGACATCTTTTCGATACATAATGTCAAGTTCCTGGATTGATACCTTAGAGCTAATCCTCATGTCATACTCGGAAATTTAAGTGGTTCTCAATCCTCCAGTTATTGGGTTTGAGGTGAAAATGGTGTGATCCTCGCACAGATGCCGGGACTCTGTGGTCAAGTTTTCGATGTAGTTGACTTACTGAGTACAGTCCGCCATATCCTAGCCACTCTACACCTAGGGGCTCATCCTTTGTTTACCCACCTTTCTCATTGTGGGATTGAGTTACAGTATATTTCTATGATAATGATCACTTTCCTGCCACATTCTCTCCCACTCAGATGTGCTCCACTCATTTTCTGCCCTTATATCTTATACATTCCACAGTTGGGCAAAGAGTATACCTGGTTCAGAAGTGGTGTGGTTCCCTCTTCTGATCTTTGGATCTGAATCTCTTATTTCCAGGGGTATCTTTCAGATGTTTTTAGGTGTGAATTTTGTCTTTCCTTCACACCGGTCTCTCCTCCTTATCAATGCAGGATTCTAGCTAATCTTCTGAGGAGAGATAAGTACCATATCGGAAGTTGTAATTTTCTTGTACTGAAAATTTATTTCAGATAGGTGCTTTTCTCCACTCACACTTCACACCCTTCCTCCTCATATTTCTCCAGTGCTAACATCTTCTGCCAAACTTCAAAATGACAATTCAGTAGAGTGTAGAAGAAGTCACATGAGCATGTTCCTATTGGTGAGGAAGTGATGCATGATTATTTGCATGAGAGACATGTTGGAATCTTGCAATTCCAATAGGGGGAGCGGAAGGCTTGTAGCATGTGTAAAGAAAAAGTTCACATATAGAGGGCAGTACTTACCAAGAATAGCTAATCTTGTGAGTGAGGGTAAGTACCTATTGGAAATGCATTTTCAGTATAGGAAAATTATAACATATAGTAATTATAAGATCACATACATTGTCAAAACTAAATGCCTCTTGAAAACTAGAGTCTATGAGCATTTAAGAGTTACCTGCAAAAACCAGCATTTACCTCATAAAATCCTGGAGCATGGCAATTCTAACTTCTATAGACCCAGCTCCTAATTAAAGACCACCCTTTTTAAATTATTTATAGATATCCTCCCAACTAATAATTATAATCACAAATAACCATCAGCCAGTATTTTGTGTATCATAAATTCCAACTGTTATGTAAGTACAATATTTATTTCCAGTTTGTGTTAATTTATGTGTAAATTTGTCCGTGTTACTGCTCATTTCACAATAACATTAATATTTAAATTGTACACTGTAATTTACTTCATGGTTAATACATGCAGTTTTGTGATGCAATGCTCATTTCTTTTCAGTGTTCCCTATTAAACCTTCTTGTTCTTAAATACCATTTGGATTTTACGTCATTCATAGCAATAAAACTTAATGCACCTTATTTTTAACATTGGTAATGATGAAATAAAAATGTTTTTGTCCTAATCACCGTCTTTATCTTTATTAATAGATTTTGTTTCCCTCTTTATAAATCTACAACAGTGTACTTCTGAATAGATTTTCTTCTTATATTTTATGAATGATAAGTTTCATTAAAGCATAACAGATATAGTATTGTGCATATAAAAAATGGTTCTTTTATAAATTTTCAAAACGTACTTACAACCTGCTAACACTTGTAGCTATTCCTCAACCTCCAGGGTTTCAACTTTGCCCATCTAGACATTGGTCTGATTTTTTCTCACTTGCTTCAGTCTTTTATACCCCACTCAGTTGCCCATGGCAATATACTCTTCACCTAATAATGGCTGGAGATGGCTTGAATGGGTAATGAAGAAAAACTTTAATATAACAGCAAATGTACAACGTTTCGACAAGGTTTTGTCATCATCAGGTAATATTTAATAATTTTTAAAAAAAAAAAATTGTGACATGCCATTTTCTGGCATGAAATTTGCAGGTTACTGTTTCCAACATGGAGGCTTATCATCCTTCCTCTATTCCACTTCTGTTATCTAGCATTTTTCAAAGGTCGGGGTGAGGGGTCACTCCCAGTTGAGGCTGTCCGTGGTTTTATTCGTTGTGAGATGGAGACATATGTTTGGTCCAGGGGTGTCTCTCCACGGAGTACTGAGGCTGCTTTTGTTGATGATCCAGGACAGTCTGGAGAGAAT